ACATACATACATACATACATACATACATACATACATACATACATACAAAACATCTATATTTGTGTATATATATATAGTGTATTCAAATGTATGTATATATAGATATTTAAAAAATACATAATAATGGGGTACGGATCGTTCTGTGGAAATCCATATGCCACGCTCTGGATCAACTGCGTTTTGGAATACATCAGAGGTATGGAATGGATGGCCCCAGTGCCTGATCCATACCTTGTATTTTGAGCCGTACCCATATATTGTACTTGTATATAAATGATATATTGTATATATTTACATAATATTGTTTATACATAATATTATATAAGATCTACAAAATATTAGTAAATATTATTCTTTTAAAATAGTATCATATTGTATTGTATATACACATATTTGCATGTGATGGCTGCAAGCGCTTGAGTTCAGAATCGCAGCTCATTGTCAGCTGTCACGGAGAGTCTTTTGTGAAATCCCTCTGCATCTTCAAAAAAAGATCTTCCCTGGTCCCTCCCACGTGCCTGCCACTCGTGCCACTGTTCATTGGTCACCTGACCCAGAGCTGGATACTTGTCTTCCCTGGGTCGATGTGATCCCAAACAGTTTGTCAAAGGCTGCCAATGGACAGATGCGGACACCTCTTTTCGAAATTTCTGTAGCTCCGCGCTGGTCACACACGGCCGCTGCTTGCGCGGCAACAGCTGGAAACGCTGGCCGTGATTTAGAGGCGAAATCGGTCAATGCAAAACTGCCGCGAATTAAAAAAACTCTGAGAACAACACAATCAATGATTCAACTATACCAAGTATTCAACCAATCCGGATGTCCCCTCTAGAGCATTTCAATGGAACTTTTGTACAGTCTAGCAAACGGAAGGGACTTGTCACACCTTCATGTCAGCCAGAATCAAATCACAATGGTCTGCCCAAGACGAGAATGGACCGCCATTGTGAGCAATGAATTCCAAATTGACAGCCTTTTTAAAATCGCCCACTTCACTTTGGCCAATTTGCCTCGTGCATTGGCACGAAATGCAAAACTGGCGGGACGGACGCCTTTCGCTGCATTGGCGGCGCGGCCATTTGTTTCGAAAGATTGGGCTGATGCAACTGGGTTGCGTGCATCAAAAGCCACGGAATCACCATGGCCACCGTGACGAACTTCCACGGCTGCCAACGACGTGGCATTCTGGCAGCCCGCACTGGAGGCATCTTACCTCCAAGCAACGGACCCGCCAAAAGATTAAAATTGGGCTGCTCAGCTCTGCGCACACCTTCTGCTCGGTCTGCCAAGTCCATTTCCAGAAGTACGTCCACATCTTCTGGACCTCAGGCACGGCCGCACATGTTTCTTTCAAACGCGCAAAACAAAACTTGGACGTATATACATAGATTCAACCACCAGCACACTGTGAGGTACAGCCGTACAGCCAGAAGGACCGTGCGTAGCAGTGTAACATTTTGTCAAACAGTCCAAAGCAGGCTGGGTTCCGCCCATCAAGTTTTATCAAGCAGGTGTTCAAGTTCCTGGTACTTGGATGATTCCAACTTGCGGTGCACCAGCCATATCAGCTCTCACCGGGCGGCGTTCAATTCGCTGTGGCAGCTGGGAAAGAACCTCTTGCAACTCCTCCTCACAGCATCAGAATTGCCTGAGAGGCTTGGTCCAACAGAGAAGCATCAGATGCAGCTCAGCCAAGCTTTCTTGCGAAGACAGGGGTCTAACAATAAAACAAATACATATAATACATATATCCGCCGACCCCAGCCTAGCTGACGCCTAGGCGGGGCGGCGCCTGGGAAACCGCAGGGTGGAAGCCGTTGCCAATGGATGTGCCTTGCAGTGTGGAAGCCGTTGCCAGTGGATGTGCCTTGTAGTGTCAAGCGCAGTCGCCCTTTGGGCATGGTTTTTGCAGGCTCCAGCTGGGACTTGCCCTGGGCTCCGCACCTACTTGGTGGCTCCTTCTTGGTTATGGAACTTATAAATAAGTTACAGCAGTTACACCACATAGAAAACTTGTAAGTTAACTTACAAAACTTACAATCTGAGCATTTTGAAATTGCTTTACTAAGTTGTCTAAGTTATTTGTAAGTAATTTATAAGTTTTCAAAGTAAAAGTAACTTTCAAAATGTTAGGTTTTTTGTTAGCACAAATTTTTGGTAGTTGCTTATAACTGGTTTACGTTTGGTGTTCAGAGCTATATAGTACCCCACACATGACAAGCAAACATGGTGGCGGCTCATTGAGCCGCCTATACAAAGCTATAGACTATAGAGCATCTGAGAGCTAAAGTACTCCACACATGAGCCGCCGAGCCAGATAAGCGTTTCAAACCGCACTTGAGGCCGAGGGTAGGTGACGAAAGCTAGCAGGGGTGCATCCGGACTGGTGGGACATCAAGCGGAGTGAGGCAAATGCTCATGAGGTAAAACGTTGTGAACATGTAAGACACACAAACAGCAATGACACAGCCAACCTTAGAATTGAAGTTCCCGATAATTAAGGAAGCGTGGCTGGACTTTGCCACACTGTTCGATGCATCCGATGTGTTCACGAACCTGTGAGCTTGTTGAATCTGTTGCACCGTATCC